CTAAGGCAAACAAGGTGCTAAGTCCTAAACAGAGCACAGACTGGTCTGATCACTCTTCGGCCTACACTGAGTCCCTTTACATTGTAACAACCAAGGGTTGTCGGAAAGTCATTCAACATCAGCAGACTACATGATCAAAACCAAGTCTAATGCTTTCACGATGTACTTAATAAAAAACTTTTTGGCAATGTACTCTTTGTAGGAATCTGTTCTGAAAAGTGGATGCAGTTTAAAAACTTCATCATGTGGACTGCAATAACTGTACAGTACTTGGACTGAAAACCTAGGCACATCAAGACCGGTTTGATGAAAATCCCAACCATTTCAGCAGCCCTCCAGGCCAAGAACAAGGTCTTATTGAGACTGGCACAATGATCCATCATCTGTCTCAAAGAAAGACAAGTTAAAGCACCTGCAATCCAAAGTACAAATGAAACTGTGAGAAATGCAAGATGAATGGTGGCAGAAAAAGGCTGAGTAGGTTTAATGTTATGCAGATTTGCATGCCACCAGAGAGTTTTTCTGCACCATAAAGTCAGTTTATAGTCCTTCTAAATCAGGATGTTCCTCCTACCTGTAATCTGATGTATCAAACCTGATGAAAGACCAGGAAGGACTGAAAAACTGTTTTTTTAAAAAATTTGATTTATATGCCGCCCTTCTCCAGAAACTCAGGGCGGCTTACAATGTGTTAATGTTGGGCTGAACACTTTTCCAACTTTCCAACTAGGTCATCCACAATTGATCATATCTTACAGAAGATTCCTCAGCTGCCACTCTTGGATGACTTAGACTGCCTCTCTCTACTGATATCAAGAAAGTGATCTTGCAGGTGAGCTGAAATGAAACAACAGGGCAGGGTGGCATTCCTGCTGAGATCTAGAAAACATTTGGTCCACGAAGGAGATGCATGATGACTTCTGTGATACCTTTCCTCTTTGCAGGTCTCTATAAAAATAGTGAAAGCAAATCAAGACTACAGAGGTATCTCAGTGCTGTCCACTGCAGGCAGGATCTTTGCCCGCATTCTCCTTAACACTTGTCTCAGAAAGGAACCTCCCAGTGACTTTTGGTCAGAATGGAGCACTGCACACATGATATTTGTCCAGAAGTGCATTGAGAACAAGCCTCTTTATTCTGTCTTCATTAACCTAACAGAGGCATTTGACACTGTAAACAGGGAGGCTCACAAAAGTAATAAATCAGCTGCATTTGCCATTTCCAATGGGGTAAAAAAGGATTGTGTGTTAGCCCCTATTCTATTCTTCACTTGCATGTCATAATTTGCTTTCCAGGACCTGGAAGAGGGAATGTACATCAGGTACCAGTTGGACAGCTCTCTTTATGACTTTCACTGCTTGAATGCATGGACAAAGTCATTCAAAGAACCATCTTTGCTGATGACTGTGCACTTCTGATGCACAAAGACAGCAATCTACTGGTGATGCTGAACAAATTCTCCGAAGCTGCTATGCTCTTCAACCTGACCAAAATTGAAGTATTTTACCAGCCCATACCAAATACTAAGTCTATAGACCAAAAATCATTGTTGATGACATCTAGCTGACAAATATAAACAGAATCAAATACTTAGGAAGCATCATCTCAAGCAATGGGTACTTGGACAAAGAAATTGACTCCAGGATCAGCATGGTCAGCTAGACACTGAGCTGGCTGTGTGGCTGTATAGTACAGTGCTCAATCAACACATCTGTATCTTCACAAAGTTAAAAGTCCCCAGAGCTGTGGTTATCCCTTCCCTCCTACCGGTACATAGATATGTGTCCTGGACTTTGTACTGAAGGCACATTAAAGAACTGGAGAAATATCTCACAAGTGTTCTCTGCTCCATCCTTGCCATTCATCGGCAAGACTATGTGTCCAACCTGAGGTCTTGGATTGTGTGAAGTCCATCAGCATTGAGATATTGATTATCAGATCCCAGATGAGATGGATGGAATCATCATCAGAATGGATGACTGCTGTATGCCTCACCATTTGTTCTAGTCTATAGTGTACTGGAGTTTGGAAGAGATCTCAAGGTCAGCTATGCAAGAGCTACAAAGACATTGTGACAGAAATCCTATGCCACTATGATATCCAGCCAAGGGAGCTAGAAGTTGTAGCTGCTGACAAAACATGCTGGTGAGCCTTCTATTGTGAACCTCCCACTAGCTTTGAAGATAGGGGCTGCCAAAAACTGATAAGAGTGGTATCACAAAATAACCTATTTTGGTTACCACAATGGATTTCCAGGGTTCACAATGGCCCGTTGTATTAAGACTGTGCTTACAGACTTGAGCTAGAGCCACTTCTGTGTCCACAATAGAACTGTACAACAGAGGGTCTTCTTTGAACCTGAAGGGCTACCATATAGCTGTTGATAATACAAAACTAATATAAATAGTTTTGTATGTTATACATTGGAGTATTTTCTGCAAGGTTCTGGATATTGTTGCTATTCTTAATCTGTTGATTATATATTCCCAAAATGAAGATACTCAACTATTCTTCTGCAGACTCTGTATATGTTCCTCTTTACTAAGGAAGAAGCAGAAACCCTAAACAGACAATATGACTTAAAGTTGGTGCTCTCTGTATAAGGTACAGACATTAGCCAAAGGAATGGTAGCTAATATTTTCTGAATTATGGTATCAATTTATTCACATATACATATGTGAAGCCTTTCATTTTGTTTTAAATTATATATAAAACAAGAAAAACAAAAGGCTTGATGTAGCATATATACATAAAATAGCTCTGTAATAAGATTTTTAAAAATGGCATTATTTTCCATCTTTTTAGAATTCCTTACATTACAAATCCTTATTGTGCCCCCTGACCTATCATTTAAGAAGACAGTGAAGGCTGAACTGTCTCTTAGGGCTTTTAATTCTTATCTTTATTGGATGCTGGTATGTGCTTTCCTTATTGTTGTTGTATGCAATAGCTTTTATTGTTTTAATGCACTGGGAGCTTTATGGAGAGTTATGGTCTAACTCTAAAAGAATGGTAAAATAAATGAGAACTTAATGCAACAAGACATCCTAAATAGTACTGCAATTACAGTAACAGGCTCTACATTTGAAAGGCCTCTTCTCATATAGGATGGAGTTCTGAGGAGGCTAACATAAAAGAGAGAAAAATAGATCAGAGTCAGCAACAGCAAAAGTGATCCTGGGAGAACCTGGTTATATCCTGGAACGCTGAAGCAGTTTCCTCTACACTCCTGATATGGTGCTAATCTGGGACATTGTGGAGATTTATATTGTGACCAATCAACAGTTGGTCATTCATTGTATAATATAGGGGAAAAAGCTTAGTCTAAAGGCAGGCAGAAATCAGAGCTGGCACAAGGTAGGAGAATGTGCAAGGATCATAACATGTCTAAAGACACTGCTTACTGATGCCAAACTTGCTTTGAACCTAGACAAAACACTGTGGGAGGGGCTGTACAAATACGTGTACATTGGGAAACATCTGTCTGAAAAAAAAGGTATATTTCTTTACTATAGAGGAGTGTCAAACTTGCAGCCTGTGGGCCAGATGCGTCATGTGCTGGCCATGGACACCCCAGTTTAGCAAAGGGGAAAAGTTGGGATACATTACATGACGACAATGTGACGGTGCGAGTTTAGACACTCTTGCTATAGAGCTAGTCCTCCAGTTTTGACCATAATAGAGCCCAAAATTTAAGTTGCTAAGATTTGTTAAGTGAGTTTGTCCCATTTTACGACTTTTCTTGCCACAGTTGTTAAGCGAATCTGGATTGCCCATTGACTTTGTCAGAAGGCCGCAGAAGGTGATCGCATGATCTTGGGACACCACACTGGTCATAAATATGAACCACTTGCCAAGCATTGAATTTTGATCATGTGACCCTGGGGATTCTGCAACCGCCATAAGTGTGAAAAATGGTCATAAATCACATTTTTCAGTACTGTTGTAACTTTGAACAGTCAGTGAATGAAAGGTTGAAAGTCAAGGACTACCTGTACTCCAGGGGTGAGTTTTACTTATCATTATTACTGGTTCGGTTCGCAATGGGGCCATGCGCAGAAGCTTCTGCACATGCACAGAAGTGTTCTGATGATATTGGGGTCGGTGGCCAGAGCCCCCTGCCGGCTTTACTACCAGTTCTATAGAACCAGTGCGAACCGGGGGCAACCCACCACTGCTGTACTCTATCCTCAGCATACTATAGTGGATTGAGTAAAACTACAATCCTGGAACGAACCTATCTACTCTTCACCAACCTCTCCCCCTTTAGTTATTTTCTTTGAAGCGAGCCCAATAATTGGATTATAGCAGTTTTCAAGGATTCTGCTTCGATTGAAACACATGATTGGAACACATGATTTGGGTTCGAGTGGTAATATGTCTCTGAAAAGCGCATTTCCTTGAAATAACCGTTAAGGGGAATGCAGCAGCGGCGTCGGAACGAACTAGCTGCGGCAATGTTTCCCCGCGGTCCCCCCCACCTCATCCCTTGTCGCCTCCTCTGCCCTCCCGAGCACATCCAGTACACCACGTAAAACTCGAGTGGGATTCAGAGTCCCGAGCTCCTTGAAAGACCACAGCCCCTTTTCGGAAGGAAACGGCCATTTCCTCTCGTGAGGTAGGGGGGCGGCTCCCCCCGGGGGTCTCGTTTGGTGCAACCACTCCCAGAAATCTGTAGTTCAACTCCTGCAAAGGACAAGCCCGCAAACGCCGCTGATTCATAAAGCGCGACGCCCCCTCAGCTAAACGAACGAGCTTTCCTCACGCCGTTTCTGAGGGAAGGCAACCCCGCACTCAGGAAAGGCGCCGCAGCTGTAACGTTCGCCTGGAGGCCCCGCCCTCGCCCTCTTCTGGGAGCCGCCTTAATCCCGCCCCTTCGCTCTGGGCGGGTCGGACTGGTGGGTTAGGCCGGCGCTCGCGAGGCCGAAGGGAAGGGCTGGGAGAGCAGCCATGATGGTAGGTGCTCGGGGAGCTGTGGGCAAGGGAGGGCTTGGCCGGCTCGCCGCTAACCTCTCTGTCGCTTTCTCCTCTCTCCTTTCCTTTCCTTCTCGGGGATGCCTCTGGACACCTCCTGCTCCGCCACCGCCTTCGCTCGGGAACAGGAAGGCTCGGACGACGGCCCAGATTTCCTTTCCGAGGAAGACCGAGGAGTAAGTGCTGCCTTTGCAGAAGGGGGAGGGGGGAGAGGGGAGGAGGTTGCCCCCAGCTGGAAGCGCGGCAGTTTCATTTAGCCGTGGGGGGGGGGCGGGTGGGTCGTCGTGGGGGGGTGTCCTCGCGACCCTACTCCCCTCAGGGCTGGTGGGCGGAGGAGCTGGGCAGCCGAGTTTGTGTGGGGGGGGGGAGGGGGGAGGGACGGCGGCGGGAGTGGGCCTTTTCCTGGACAGCCTCGTCTGGCGGAACCAGGAAAGGGCCGCGGTCGGTGCTCTGGGCCCACTTTTGATTTGTCAAGTAATCCCTGGATGCTTGTGCCAGTTCTGTGGGCTTTTTCTTTTAAGGTTTGTAAAGTCGGGCTAAAAATTTATAACCACTGTTAACGAATAACCATCGAGAAAGACTGTAATTACCTCAAGGGCAACCGGAATGCTCCTTTCCTTTTCGGAATATGGTTTGCTGCGAGAGTGCGTCTTCCAATTCCAAGAGTTAATCGCGATGTCATTGGTTTTTGGTCAGTTTCGTGAAATAAGGTGGTGTAATTTACCAGAAATCGCAGACCACGGTTAAAAGACTATAGTAAATGTCTTCCCACAACGTGCTAAAGCAAAAGATACTTAACCTGGTGGTTTACTTCATACATTAGACTAAAACATAATGTGATTTGTTTGATTTTGGTTTAGCCATATGTGTACCCTGGTTTTTAGTTTAAATAATAGTTTAGCTTTAGTCCTTAGCGTAGCTCCTTAATTTCCCAAGGGGCACTTTGAAATATTAATGCATAGTGAGTTCTTCTCATTTTATCCTTGCAATAATCCTGCAAATTATGTTAGATGAAAGTTATTGTTTCTCCAGGCCAGTTGGACTATTTAATTATAATTTGGGAGCCATACCTTGGTTGGACTCCTTCTGTAGCTACCATGCTAAGTATTATTTCTTTGACTTAGAAAGTTATAAGGATATATTGTGTGGTGTTCATTGCAAGAGTCATAGAGACAGTAATAGTCAAATATTTTAGAAACTTTGAAGAGAAAATTATAGAAAGAAATATCAAGTATAGATCTAGGCTATCAACTAGTTAAGCTGAATTTTTGCCTTAAAATAATCAACTAGGCAAAAATGGACTCTTTACCATCATAATTCTTAATTCCCCCAGTTGCTATAAAATTCTGTTTTTCAAAAATGCAGAAGTTAGATATGCTAGTGGTTTGCAGTTGTTTGGCAGTAAATTAGCCTGGGTTCCTGATTCCCAATTGTGCAAGTACTACATGAAAATGATAGTCTGTCCTAAATTATAATTTTGAAATGAGATCTTGAAGAACAACATTGTATTTGACTGGTTTTTTTCAATGTGAATTAGGGCATACCTTTTATGGTAATACTATGTAGGTTTCAAATGATGGATTTAAATTTAATTCTGATTGAAAAAGTAATACTAGAAATTCAAAAGTGAACACACCTATGGAACAGAAACACCACATTGTCTACTTGGTTATTTTCTCCAGTTCTGTTTTCTCTTAAGGTTGGAACAATTAAGGTAATATTATGCTTTGGAGAAGATTGTGGATTGATCTCAAGTTCTCTATTACAGAGATAATATTAGAGTTTTTATTTGCAAAGGCATAGCAGTGATGTTTATGTGATTTCTAAACAGGGATGTAAATATTTACATAATTTAATATGTGGTTTAAAATATGTTTCACTAAAATTGTGTAGTTGGCTCTGAAATACAAACGTTTTTCCAATTAGATATATTTATAATATAAATAGTAATCTATTTTCTATATGTTTAGATGTGATTGGACTATTTTAGAGTGGTTTGAACCAATAGATGGATGAGGCTGCAATCCCATGCATATGTATCTCATAGCAAGACAATCTGAATTCAGTAAAATTGTGTAATTGTGCAAAGGATTGTACTTAACAACATAAATCATATTGTCTGTACATTTTTCTCAAGACTAATTCCTGCATAATATAAACAATAGTGCCTTATCTGGTTGGGGTAAACTGCTGAATTAACTATATATTTGGATTAACCCATAGGGCTGTTCTTTTTAACATAGCTTTGTGTTCAAGAGAGTTGGGGACACAATTACAGTTAATTATCATTATGAAAAAGGGCAATGGTGCCATGGCAAAAATGCTTTGAGATCAGTTTGTCCTGAACAGCAATTAGGTGGAAAATTCTGAATATATTAGAAGGCGTTTCATAGTGAAATCATGCGATGAAGGCTGGAGCGAACCTACTTCAATTTGCATGCCCTTCAGAACTGTTAAGAATATTCCTACTCGCCAATCATTGGCTGTAAATTCTGGAAACTGAAGTCTATCATACATGAAGAATACCATATTGAGGAAGGCTGGCATAGATTATTTATCTTTAATCTTGTTGCTAGAAGCATGTAACTAGAGCTCTGTGAATTAAAGAATTGTTAGTTTTACAAATAATGATAGAAATACTTGACTGATTTACAGTACTACTGTATATTATTTTTGATACCATCTTGAGAACCTGATCCCAACTCTTGATAGTTTAAAGAGACATCATTTTGTTTGTCTAACTTCCTGGGTTTTTTTCTTTTGTCAGTAGAAAATAAGTGTAAGAGTTGAGTACTGTAATCTTTTTCCTCTATGTGCATTGATATGTTTTTCAAAATGGCTTTCATATTGCTATTCTAGTGCTATTGTTATAAAATATTCTGAACGATTGATTAAATACTCTTGAAGACAGAGTGCTACTATTGAGAGTGGTTTCTGTTTCTTGCCAATTGATCCTAAGCAGTATTTTTTTTAAAAAAGAATGGATAGTACCAAGTAAATATTAGGTTGCTATCACTCCAGCTGACAAAAAAAAAAAAAAAACACCCTTGTGAAATGCTTTATTGGAATGTTATAAGGTAAATATTGATACATAATGAGAATAATAGATAAAACATGGCTGCTTGATCCGAAAACTGTTTCACATAGTGTAAAACTGCTTTCCCAAACTTTTTCCTTCATTACTTAAAACTGCTTATGAGAGTTTTATCAAACTTCAAGGACGAGTTGTAATTTCCTTCCTTTAGCACTCTTATATAACCTCAAATAGTTGCTGAATGGTTATACCCTGAAAACTACCTGTATTATAAAACAATATCATTGAATAATCCTCATGTCATTTCAACAAATTAGCATTGTAATTAATTTTTATCTTAATATGAATACTTAGGGAGATTTTAAAATGTATTTTACTATCTTTAAAGTTGTAATCTTTAAGTCAACTTTAAGTTTAAATGTCTTGTTGTGATGGGTAATGGAATTGTGTGTTGCTACTCAAAAATAACTTTTACTCAGTTTTGGCTAATTTGGGAAACACTGGTATAAAACATCAAGCCTGACAATGCAGTAGCATTGTTTTTGAAAGAAAAAAAATCTTAGTGTTTTTCTAAAAGCTTGGACAAAATAAATATATTTGCATACATATGTAGTGCAAAGTTTCATGTGTTATTTAAAAATTGCAGGAGTTTGGAACTTTTACTTGTAAAAGTTTGAATGGAAAAATGGAAAAAGAAGCTGAGGTTCTAATTCTAGAGTTTTTTAGTGGAAGCTTAAGTTACACTCTTAATTTGGTGTCAAATAGAAGTGATAGAAATACAGGAAATTTACATTGCTGCCAGTAAGTCAATTTTATTTAAGAAAAATATTTCCCTTGAACAATGTGTCTGATAATTCATAATTAAATCGGGTGTTTTAAATTTGTGATTTAAATTCGTTTAAAATGTAAGTATTACATTTATCTTAATTGTTTTAATACTAAATGTGAATGTAGCCCTATACTTTGCTGTACGGTTAATCTTTGAATCTATGCTTCCTCTTGAGGGGAAGGATAGAAAGAGTAGCAGTAGTAAGAGCAGGAGCTGTTGAAAACTGGTGGCAATTAGGAGGTAATAGAATTATCCTGTGGTCATTGCAGGTTGTTTGTGGATCTCACATGTGAACCAAGACTATTTCAAACATCATGCACTACACATGCTAGAAGCAGCAACTTCTGTTATTGAAGGCAACGAGTTCTTTCTGAGAATTGGTGCCAGAATCTCTGACGTGTTAATTGGGAGATTAAAGAGTCTGTTGACACCCATGCACTGCTTGCATTTTAGTTTTTTAGAAAAACAATACATCTTTCTTTTGTAAGGGAGCGAACGAACTTTCTCTGTCAAAAAATATGTGTTGGGAAATTATGCATTAGTGAATTATTTCATTCCAAGGTAGGAATGAAGTTACAAAGGAAGAATTAAAAATTAAAGTTAAGAGATCTGTTCCCATTTGTATCTCTTTTGGTTTAATATTCTAGTATTTAAAATCTCATGGCACCTAATAATATGCTGCAAATCTTTAAAACAAACATACAATATTTAACTTAACTTACAAGAGTTATTATTTTAAGTATGAGTGCTGTCCTTTAAAAGGAATTCTGCCTGATATGTATGCAAATATTCTTTAGATCTCTAGCAAAAATACTTGTATTCATGTAAACAATTGTAATTTTAGCATAATTAATATTTGAATTGCTTGTTACTTCGACTCTGATGTATATTAGTGTATTTCGTTTTTCAACATTTAGTTGCATATAACGGGAGAAATCTATTGCTGTCATGTGCCAATCAGTATGCTTCCCTGATGCTAATTCAGCCATTAAGCTGAAAAAGGTTCCTAAATTCTGCTATAGTCAGTATCAAGGAAATGCTGAATCATTTCCAAATCAGCAAGTAATTTTTGAATTAATTATAAATGGTTTAAAACATTATTAATGAAATTCAAATTTTATATCAGAGAGAATGATGGCAGTAACATAAATTAGCATATATTTACAAGTAAAATTTATGCTGATTTGTGTTACTGACTGCTATCATTCCCTCTAGTCTGTAGTGTTTTATAGTGTCTAATGTATTGTTTCTAAGCTAAAGTACAATCAAAATCCAATACATTCTAAAAAGCTTTTATGTCCCTTTAGTAATTAATTTTCTCTTTTTAGCTTAGAGCTGTTACTGTAGATCTGCAAACTGATGCTGCTTTGCAAGTGGACATTTCAGATGCTCTTAGTGAAAGGGACAAAGTCAAATTCACTGTTCATACAAAGGTAATCCTTGACATTGCTTTTATTTATACTATAATTGATTTTTAAAGAGGTAAATAAAGCTTACTGTGTAAAGATTAAATGTAGTGATATCTCATTTTAATGAAGCAGTTATGGGAGAGGTTTTGGTTATATCCAGCATAACCAAAAGTCCAGTAAATTGAGACATTCTTATATTTCAGATGATGGTTATTGGTATCATGTATATAAGGTACTCAATAACATTAGGCATATTTTGTCATTGGTATGATGTAATGTAATTTGTAATATAATGTGGTTAATTTCACGTGAAGTCTGTTGCATTGAGATCCCCAAAAAGGACTTTTACTGTATAATATTTTGATGTCAATCTTGTTGCTTTCAGTAGGATTTAACTAAAATTTAAAATGTCTTAATGCATGATTAGGTTGATAATACACTTTTCCTCTGTGAAAATATGTAATATACATGAACAAAGATTTACTGTACTATGGGCAGGGGAGTGAATATCAAACCTGCTGCTGGATTTCCATATTCCCCCCCCCCTTTATAATTGCTTAATTATTTTTTGCTTTCTGAATCTGTTGTGGTTGAGGTATAATACTGTAATTTACTCTGGAGAGATATCTGTGTTATTTTTGTATTAACATGAGGTAAAGTACTTAACTATGTCGTTCATTCTATTTTGTTTTGTAGAGTTCTTTACCAAACTTCAAACAAAATGAATTTTCAGTTGTCAGACAACATGAAGAGTTTATCTGGCTTCATGATTCCTTTGTTGAGAATGAAGATTATGCAGGCTACATTGTAAGTTTTTTCCCCCCAAAGAACTGTAAGAAAAGGATCTGACAATAGCAAATGCTCCCGTACTTCCTGTTGAACGTTTCTGTGAAACACCACAGAATGTTTCATAAAAATTTATTCTTCTGAAAATGAAACGAGATGTTTGAAAGAATTTCAGGATGTAGTTCTTACTTTAATTTCCCACTTGCTGCATCAGCCTTTTTGCTGCTTAACCCAGGATCTTTCCATGTCTTAATATTTTACATCTGATTTACAAGTGATAAGAACAACAAACTGTATGTAATGAAACATCAATTACTTTTATTGCTGCAGTTAAGGGAGGAGATATTTAGAGATTCTGAAATACTGCTCTTCAAAAAAGGCATAACTGATTATTAGGCTATGGACTTTTTTGAAGTGGAAGTATGCAGGATATCAACATAATAAATTACTGCAAAAATAGAAATATGAAATGTATTCCCTGTAATAAAGTGGCAGTTGATTTAATATGAAGGAAAAGTAGCATGTTTTTTGAATGCACTATTAATAGAAGTGATTTCTAGTCTTAGAGAATTGTGCTTAATTATTTAAATTATTTAAATTGTTGTAAGAAACAATTTTTAAAAAATAAATTGTTAATTAACAATAAGAATATTTTAACTTTTAGCAGCACATCTGTAAATTCTTTAAGTGGAATATAAACTCAATTGTACCGATTTATTTTTACTTCTGCAGCTAAATATTTCCTTTAACAGTATTTCCTGTTGATTTAGCTGTAGTAGGCAGATTTACTTTGTCTTTATTTATTCCCTAAAGAATAAATTACACTGCCGTAATTTCTGGTCAATAAGGCAAATAGTTAAGGGTGATTGATCTGAGGGTATATTGCTAAGAAAGTTTGCTTAAGGAATATTAGAGGCTTTACTTCTTGAAAATTATTTTCCCAGAATAAAAGTACATCTGTTGCAATAAGGAAGGCCTGATAACTAATAAAGCCAAATGAGGAAGATGACACATATTCCTGAGTAGTATTTGATCAGTTTTTCACCACTGCACAGTAGATGTAGTGGAAGAATAATGTTACATATTTTATAGTGCTTTTTCAGTGACATCACTATGAAGAAAAAAGTACTATTAATTACAAATTGTTAGCTACATTTGTAGTTTTATATATTGCCAGTGAGCCACTGAATGGCTATGGTTTAAATCTCAGTGACTTTTTAAAAAGATACTTGAATCTAAACTTTCCAATAATCATACTTAATTTTTGGATGCTATTATTTAAGCTGCTTGAAAGAATTTCTGATTTAAAATGACCCATGCTGATTTATGACAGATGCAGCATATATTTTAAAATACGCCTTTTTCATAATATCATGAACCTCATAAGCATTATAATTGGAATAGGAAACATGTTATCTTGAACTATTATTGAAAGATAATACTTAAATATTTTAAAACAATGCTAAATCGGAATGCATAAATAAATTGTTAATGAAGTTGAAGTAAGATTGATTTTTGTCTTAATGCAATGGACAGTATAAAGAAAGAGGTTTGTGTTAATGTTCTTACATAGTTTACGGTATGCTTATCCAAAGAGTTTTCACTGTATAAGATTTAAAAATAAACCTGATCAACTCATTTGACAGATACCACCAGCGCCACCGAGGCCTGACTTTGATGCTTCAAGAGAAAAATTGCAGAAGCTTGGTGAAGGAGAAGGATCCATGACTAAGGAAGAATTTACAAAGATGAAGCAAGAATTAGAAGCGTATGTGTATAGTTTTTTTATATTTCCAACTCCAAGTCTTTCTAGAAGTGTCAGGCATATTGGCATACTTGTCTTTGATTGCTGAATTAATATCTTGCTTGTATTAAAATAATGGAAGGTTTGACTGATTGAAATTCAAGAACTACCTATAATGGACTGAGAATGCAAATTCCTTCTAAAAGATCAGTGCCTATTTTGTATATAAGAGGCAAAATGAAATGTATATGCGTTTTTAATTTCTGTATACTTGAAAATACATGATTATGACAGTAAGTACTTATGTTTATTAAGGTAATTTGGGGGATATCAAACCAGCTTCCACCATTATCAGAATAAGGAAGAAAGTGATATTTGGTCATTAATCTGACCATGTATCTCTTATAGGGGAGAGTTGTGGAGGTCCTGGAAAGAGGAAAAATCACCTCATTCTGAGTAATACCTTCTGTCAGCAAAATAGTTGGATATTTGGATATTCTGAATTTTAACTCTCAGCTGTTAGGGAATAGCGAGAGCTTAGGAGAAGAAAACTTTCCTTTAGTTCCCTACAAAGAATTTGTGGTCTTTCTATTAGTCTGTTTGAAATTCCTCTTTAGTTTGATTAATTTTTTTAAAAAATTCTTTTAATTAAATCCAACTAACTGCAGCATTTTGTTTTGAAATCTATTGTTTTTTATGCAGAAACACTTTTACAAAATAATATTGCTTTTTATATTTAGAGAATACTTGGCAATCTTCAAAAAGACAGTAGCTATGCATGAAGTCTTCTTATGCCGTGTAGCAGCTCATCCCATTTTGAGAAAGGACTTAAATTTCCATGTCTTCTTGGAATATAATCAGGATGTGAGTACTGAAATACATCACAAAAAAACATCTGTGCTTATCCAGAAAACAATATATTCATAATATTGAGCAATTGTAGAGCACTATATTTATTAAGATTTAGGTGCTTTTTGTTAAATAAAATTCAATATAAGGTATAGAAATAAATTCTTTTTAAAATATGTGAACATGATGGCTAAAATTAGCATCTAAAAACACAAAAAAGTCTTCACAAAGAAAGAACAGCATGATCTCTGCAGTAAACTTCTTGTCCCATTTAATAGATTTTTCTTTAAAAAAAACAATAATGCAGAGGATATGGCAGTTCTAAAAATTATTGGGTATGTTCCATACAGAGATCAAATTTTGATAAGGGTAACAGGAACCATTCTCTTAGGAATCAAAGAAGTTAAAATGCAAAAGATGAAGAGATATAAAACATTGACAGCTCTTCCAGTAAAAGGTAGCAAGGAGACTAGCTTCCTGAGGAAGTAGAAAAATTGTTAACAGTAAAATTGGAAATGTTTTAGTTTTATTAAATTTCTATACCGCCCTTCTCCCGAGGGACTCAGGGCGGTGTACAGCCATATTAAAACACATGAATTTATAAAATTTAAAACCAATTAAAATCAGATATATAAAATTTGGCCCTCAATTTAAAACACACATACACCCATTTAAATTCATTAAATTTAAAACCCATTTAAATTTAAAATGTGTAGCAGTCTTTCTTTTTTTCATGTTAATTCAAGGTTAAAATGAGATCAAAAATGGTTTCTCAGATTGGGAGGACTGGTAATAAAATAGGAAGTGAAAGCTGGCATAAATGGGATTCATTAGGGAGGGGAATTTCTAACTTCGTATTTTCCAGGTAAAAAAAGGATTTTGAGTTGTAATTGTGGAAATGACAAAACAGAAAATGCCTTTTTGGGTGGTGGTATGAAAAAATTGAAATATAATTGATCATTATTTGGGATTCCATAAAATAAAACCAAAATACCCCCCCTCCCCCATACAACCAATACTCACACTATTTTTACATTATTTGTGAACATGCACAGACTGGGAAAAATCTGCATGTCCCCAGCTGAGGATGACTATTCACTAATTCAGTGTTTTGGCAACTTTATAGAACACAACTACTATGAATAACAATATTTGACTATAGATGGGTAGTACTATACTTTTCTCTAATAATCTTCTGAGAAATCACATTTGAAATGAACATTTCTATTGAAGTTATTTCAAAGGATATTGTATTAATGAAAATTTATAAGAAACAACAGCCAAATGATAGGACCAAAGCATTTTATATGCATTAGTATTCTAAAGCAGGACTTCCTAGAGGTTTAACATGCACAATCAAGAGAATGTTAATAAAATCTTTCTTTCCCAAATTCTAGAATTTGGGATCATCCAGTAACATTGATTAGCAATTAATTCAGGCTAAAGTGCCAATGTATATTCAAAATGTGAAGCTTTTTGTTATTGAATATGGTGATAGCTATTTCTAAATAGATATCATAGATTACATAGATTAATGATTGCTAGTCAATATAAGAGAGATGCTGTTTCTCAGTTGTTGATAAACAGTCATAGAGAATGCTTTTGTACTCTGATACTGGGATTTCCAGAAACATCTTTTTATCCATGGAGCAGTAAAATGTTTGATTAACCTTCCATGATTGCTACAGAAACCTAGGAATCCACAAATAGGTGGTTGGATGCTCATTTTGGAGGAGACTACACTAAATTGGCTATAGTCCATCAGTAATGATGATAAGTTTTTAAAAAGCAGTCATGCATTTTAAAAAGTAAAATGTTTTATATAATACATCTTTTTCTTTGACATATTTCAGCTATCTAAAAGAATACCTGCTTTCTAAAAATAAAATGCAATTCAAATATACAAGTAAAGTATTTAACATGAACTTCTTTTTTTTTTTTTTAAATTTGATTTATATGCCGCCCTTCTCCGGAGACTCAGGGCGGCTTACAATGTGCTCAGCAATAGCCTTCATCCTTTTTGTATATTTATACAAAGTCAGCTTATTGCCCCCACAACTGGGTCCTCAATTTACCTACCTTAGAAAGGATGGAGTCAACCTTGAGCCTTGGCGAGATTCGAACCTGCAGTAATTGCAGGCAGCTGGTCTTAATAACCAGCTTAATAACAGGGTGCCTTAGACCACTGTACTACCAAGGCTCTTTTCTTAAAAACCATGTTAGTTTTCTGACCTAGTCATCTATTGAAATAAATGTCCTATTGAGCCATGGTGGCGCAGTGGTTAGAATGCAGTACTGCAGACTACTTCTGCTGATCACTGGCTGCCAGCAGGTTGGCGGATCAAATCTCACCAGGCTCAAGGTTGACTCGGCCTTCCATCCTTCTGAGGCTGGTAATATGAGGACCCAGATTGTTGGGGGCAATATGCTGACTCTGTAAACCACTTAGAGAGGGCTGTAAAGCACTGTGAAACGATATATATGTCTAAGTGCTATTGCTATTGCTATTTACTTGGATGTAGCATTAATAATAATTTTTAAATACCCAGTTTTTACTCCTAGCAAATTACAAGAATTAGAACAAACTATTGGCACTATAAAACCTGAAATAAATGCAATTCAGTAGAAAATTACAATAGATCTACAAATATTGAAAAAAAATCAGTGCTGTGTTTGGTTAATGGGATGAATTGGGGATATTAAGTCCAGCCTCAGTCATGTAACTAACTCATTGATTTACTTTGAGACTGTCACTCTTACCAGCCCAGCCTACTCATAAGTTGTGATGTGGTAAAATGAAGGGAGCTATCCAGTTAAATTACCTTGAAATCCTGGAAGAAATTTGATACATTAGAAATGCATCTAATAAGAAAGTAAGCACATTAAAATCCACTCTAACTGGGTAGTGAATGAAATTTTACTGTACAAAGGTGGAAATGAAAATGATACAACATTCTAATAGTTTATCTTTAGTAAGAACTGCTTTGAGTTAATAACATCTCTGAATTGAAAAAAGTAAACTTACATTATGCATTTGTCTTATTTCAGTTGAGTGTACGGGGAAAAAATAAGAAAGAGAAACTTGAAGACTTCTTTAAAAACATGGTTAAGTCTGCTGATGGTGTGATTGTTTCAGGAGTAAAGGTGATTTTTTTAAATCCATTGCATCATTTCTGAGTATTGTTCAAAGATATGAATTTAAATAATTTGCAAGACGAATATATCTCAAGTAATTTACAGAAAACTCTTGTATACAAAGTGTAGCTCTTTTCAACATACCATTGGTTTTCCATCTATCTAGTGTTAAGAATTTCTGGGGTACTTTGTTTGGGACTCTTGCAGCACTTGATCTTTTTAGCTTTCCTGAAGGAATTGAAACTTGCTCTCTGTCCTTCTGGATATAGAAATTATAGGATGATTCTTGTGGTCTGTTTACTCCCTTCGACTCCTGCAGAGATGAGGCATAAATACGTAGCATTTTTCCATATCAGATCTATCCATCTAATCTTAAAATGCTTGCCAAAGTAATCATAATTTCAGAATTTTCTCATTTTATACCTGCAACTTAAATTATGTGGGCTAAATGGCATTCTCAGTTTAAGGATCTCTAACTTTGACAGGTCATTGGAAATACTTAGAATTTTAAAGATACAGTATGGGCAATCTTACACAAGTGGTATGTTCGGTCACAAAATACTAATACATTAAAAGTTGTGCTCCACTATTTCCTCTAACCTTCTATGCTAGTGGGTACATTTCCAAACTTTGTCATTCAGAAGTATTCTATTTATACCATTCTATTGGTGCATGACTCCTATAAGACAAAATGGATTCTTGCTCTCCACCTTTTTAGATGTGAAACTGGAAGAAACACAGAAAAGGATAACAATATTTTCATATTTATATAAATATGAATAATTTTCCTTTCTATACTTATACATTATATAGCTTGGTGGATTTGGCTGCTTTTCCCAACTTGGTGTTCTTCAGATGGGCTGAAAATTTCAGGCTGTCAATGGTTATGCTGGAGTACAATTTAGAACATGGCAATCCCATTTCACCAGAATTGTTATGTCTGGTGTTATTTTATTTATCTGGGCTTTAGAAAAAGAAATGATCTAGAAATATTTTATATCAGTATGTTGAAATGCTACTCTAGTAGAATTATTGGGGTTTTTTGAGTGTTAAAATTTGGAATTTACTAAGCATCACTGTAATTATGGATATGTAACTGCTGTTTCTACAATTGAATTTAGTTTATCTTTGTTCAGCATTTGTTCAGTAAAATATAAACTGCTTCTCTTCAAATTACTCTTTACTTCTGATATGTCTTGGCATACAGGATGTAGATGATTTTTTTGAACATGAAAGAACATTCCTTGTAGAATATCACAATCGTGTCAAGGATTCCTCTCTCAAGTCTGATAAAATGACACGATCCCACAAAAGTAAGTTGCCTGCTAATACCTAGAAAGTATTTTGGGGGCATTAGGATAAATACCATTAAATTGTAAAATACTATTAGTTTGTAGATTCCATTTGATGGGATAAATCTGGAATATATGACAAGGATAAATGGTATTTTGGAAAAATAGGGACAATATTTGATTGATTAGGACTAAGACCAAATATGGAAGTGACAAACTGTGTCTTATTCTTTTTTATCTGTGTTTGCAGAATTTTCTGATGCTAAATAGATATTGCCTGAGCTTTTGTTATATCTTCCAAATAAGTTTTGAGATTTAAGACAGGTGTGACTTTAAAGAAGATAGAATTCTTGGGAATATGAATCACATGGCTGCTCTCAAAATTGTGGATGCACTTCATGTACAAATATGCTCAAAGTAGAAAATCTAACAATATAAAATGAATTTAATGCCATATCTTTTTCTTATTCAGATGTTGCAGACGACTACAATAGAATTGGTTCTTCATTATATACATTGGGAACACAGGACTCCACAGATATATGCAAGTAAGTCTCTTTTAAAAGATACATAACTTAAAAAAATTATAGCACATAATTTTGAATGTTTTTAAATTGATGTGCATATCATGTAATAATTTCAGCTATTTTTCTCTCAACTTTGGACTTAGCTTTATGAAAATCCCTGCCATAGTTATTAACAGATTTTCTAAGTAGATCTTACATTTAGAGAACGTTACCTTTACAAAGTGCTACTTCTGTACATTAAAGAATTTATGTACATATGTGGTAGGTATAGGGATAAATTGAAAAATCTTATAAAATAAAATTATGTTTATTAAGGATAGATTTTTGAAATAATAGGGACTGCTTAACTCAATTTAGATTAAATGTCCTTTGTTGCCATTGCAAATGCTTGAGAGACATCTCCAGATAATAAGCTCTTGGTTTGTTTTTTTTAGGCTAGGTTTCTTTGGATCCTATTCCAACCACACAATATGATTTAGCAATAGATTCTGTACTGTAGTCTTTCTCTGCTCTGCTTTTGTTTTGCTGTTTATAGTATATTTGAGAATGCCCAATGTTCTGTGATCAGAATTATTTCTCAGTCCTTCACATATTGGGTCTTTGCTTCCTGCTTGAAGCTGATTGAATCACAGTACTACTTTCTTCTCTCTTCTGCCAATTTGATCTTCATTTTTTATTTCCTTAGACTAGAAAGTTTGCTTTCTTAGTTTTCAGTTCTGCTATCTTCAGTCGCCACCATTGCTGTTACTAATTTATTAATTTTACATGCAGCTCAATTCCTAGTGACTGAGTGGTTTACAAATTGTTAAAAACTTTAAAACAAAATAACAAAGCAAAATGGATCAAAGATGATGACAGACATAGCAAACACAGATGGTTTGTTAGGTAAAAGGTAAAATAAAAAAGGGGAGCTTCAGTCATGCACACCAGAGGCCTGGGCAAAGAGACAGGTCTTCAAGCTCTTCAAAACACCAGTAGAGTAGGGGCTGCTCAAATCTTGAACTTCATTCCAGAATGCTATAAAAGAATATCATAATTCCAACATTTAAGCTTTCCTTTTTTTAAAAAAAAATCTGTTCATCCAATTTATTGCTTTCTTTTCCAAGCTAAAATTGCAGTTGTGAACTTTTAGAACTGTTTGTAATCCTGATTAAACAGATATCACCCAAAATGCTGTCTCATGTTTGTGTTGAACAGCTTGAGGGAATATTCACTCTTTTTATTGGAAAAAGTATGTATAAAATAATCTTAATACAGTAAACACAGCCAGGTGGTCCAGTGAGATGTGAGGTTCCATTAAAAAAAATATTTTTTTGTTTAGTTATTTAAAAATTATACATAGCCTTGTCTGATTTACATGGTTATAATCTTAAGAGTCTGTTCTTCAGAAAGGTTTACAGAAATGAATTCTGCCCCCAAGTAAAAGCTTTTTGAGGAACTCCAGAAAAAGATTTTAATGCTCATGAAGTAACAACCATAAGTCATCCGAAGATATATGATACTTTAGGAGATTGAAAAGAACCTCAGAGCAAACAGTAAAAGATCTGCAGGCCATGCTTACATTGTTTGATGTCAGTATTCTTGATTCCATTCTAAAGAATACACTGAGCATGAGTTGTGTGCATGGTAGGATGAAAAACACTTCGGTCTAGATGGCACATTGTTGCCCATTTGAAGTGTCTCGAAGATGATCTGGATATTCCAGCAGGCTTAGAGGGACCACGGTCTTCAAATTATAAAGTCCACTGGATGACATTGAGTCATATTAGGTAGTTTCTGCCTATTATTTAGAGCTATATTAAAGAAAAATTGGGGCAGATAACAGTGTATGCCAGGGGTGTCAAACTCAAGGCCTGCTGGCCGCATCCAGCCCCTGGGGTGCTTAAATCCAGCCTGTGGACCAGCCTGGAAATAGCAAAGGAATGGCCTGTGGTGCCTCTGGCAGCCACAGCCACCCATCCTCGGGCAGGGTGCTTCAGGAGGGATCCGTCCCGTTTCCCCACCCCCCACCCCAGACCGGCCTGCAGAAGAGAACTACAATGCTGATCCAGCTTGATACCCCTGGTGTATGCCATCGTGAAGATTTAGGAAAGGGATAACTCTTACAAACATTAAGGAAATTACTTTGATAACTATTGAAAGTTAACATGATTCAGTAGTTTCTATTTATAGTTGATAATGTTGTTCATCAGGCAATTATTGATATGGAATGATATCCACCATAAATTATAAACAAAATTATGATCAAAAAACTATTTACTATATTTACTTTTCATTTACAGATTTTTCCTGAAAGTATCTGAATTGTTTGATAAAACAAGGGTATGTATTATGAAAGATTGCAAAATTTCAATTTGGGTTCTTCAGATTTTGATATTTTTCTCTGGTTTGGGTTCCTGTGACATCTTACTATTATTCAGTGTTACTTATGCTTCCAAAAATACCTCCTGTCCAAACTTCTAAAACATTACTTAATTAACCAACAAACACAGACTGTAACAACAGAAATATGAATAAAATAAAGACCACAAACTTCTACAAAGTACTACCTACTTTCTGTTTGATCAGAGGAACATCAATGGGATCACCACTGTCAGTATTTTAGGAAATAGCCTGTCCACTTTATCCTCACCATGCATAATGTTATACATCTCAATCATGTCTCCTTTTATTCAACTCTTTAGACCAGGGGTGTCAAACTCAAGGCCTGTGGGCCAGATGCAGCCCATGGGGCAGATACGGCCTGTGGGGTGCTTAGATCTGACCCATGGGGCCAACTTGGAAACAGCGGTGCCGCTGCCAGCAAAAACTGAGCTCGGGCGGGCCACATACAGCCCTTCTAGACTCCGTTTTCATACGGGACTGCCTCCTGCAGCCCTCTGCCATTGAAAATGGAACTCAGGGGACCACGGCCCCCCTGAGCTCCATTTTTGCTGGCAGAGGACTGCAGGAGGCCATTGCGGCCGAAAACTGAAGCTCGGGAGCCTGTTTTCTCTGGCAGAGCGCTCGGGCCACAGGTGCCCCCGACACAAGCTGGCCACACCCACTCCGGCCCCCAAGGTCAAACACAACCCGGGTGCGGCCCTCAATGAAATCGAGTGATTAAAAAGTCCAAAATATCACAATCTTCCTCATAGGGAAACTCCTTGCTCATCTTAGTTGCCTCTTCTGAACCTCCTTTAGCTCTACTATACAGTATTTGAGTTGCGATGACCAGGCATTTTAAGATGTAGACAATAGCTTTCTGTAAATGTCTGCTTTTAATAATAAAGTAGGAGCATGTAATTGGGGCATTATAAATGGAGATGGTATGTAGTGCCTAAAATATTTCTGATTTGCTTTTCTTGTTTAGAAAGTAGAGGCCCGCGTATCTGCTGATGAGGATCTTAAACTCTCAGATCTTCTAAAATACTACCTAAGAGAATCACAAGCTGCAAAGGTGAACTAAATTTCTGGTTGGAAAAGTATCTTGTAAATTTGATATTGTAATAGAATAACAGCCTGAAAATATTCAGAAAGTAGAATTCAATAGAACTAATATTTGATGTGCTAAAATAGTGTTTAGATGCTCCCATTCACTAGTTTGTACTAAGCCATATTTGCTAAAAACTCATAACATATGGTCCTTTCAGTTTGGATGTGTGTGAGGATGGGGAAATGAAACAAGCATAATGGAAACAGAAGTTTTCTTGCGCTATAGTTACTTTTTTAAAAAGACAGGATGATTGATTCAGTTGGTTACTTGTAGTTACTTGTTTTCTGATATAGTTCCCCTTAAAGAAATGAGCTTTCATTTTTATGATAGGGAAAAAAATTAGTTTTGTAAAGTGACTATCTTAATAATAGAGTAAAAATACTATTTGGAGTAACATTGGATCAACCTTTAAAGTATTCTTTCCAAAGTTAATACACAGAATTGGATTTTATTCCTTTTTTATTTATTACAGGACCTTTTGTATAGGAGATCAAGGTCATTGGTAGATTATGAAAATGCTAACAAGGCACTGGACAAAGCAAGAGCAAAGAACAAAGATGTACTGCAAGCTGAAAATACTCAGCAGCTTTGCTGTCATAAATTTGAAAAAATATCTGAATCAGCAAAACAAGGTACTGAAATAGTCTTGGAAATTGTCAAATTTTATAATGCATTAATTTCCAGAAGAGTAAGTCCTCTGGCACCTTAAGGCTAACAAGTTAATTATGGTATAATGTATTGTGGACTACAGTACACTCCATCAGATTTTTCAATCTTCTGAAATACAAGAATATATAGGTAGTCCTTGACTTACGGCCATATTGTGCCTGACAATTATTGTTGTAAATCAGGATGATCATAAAGTGGGTCATCACGTGACTGACCTGATTTTATAACCTTTTTTGTGGTGGTCATTAAGCAAATGTGGTCGTGTAGCAAATACAGCGGTTGTTAAGTGAACCCAATGGTTAAGTAAACTGAAAGTAAATACCAATTTCTGGCAAAATAAATCGTGGTCATGTAACTATAGAATACTGCAAATGCCTGTAAATGTGGGCTGGTTTCCAAGCACCAACATGCAGTCATGTGACCTGGGGGGTAGCAGAACTTTGGAACTAGGTCTAAATAGTTTTTGGGGGAAGGGTCTGCCATGGCTTTGAATGGTCAGTAAGTGATCAATTTAAGTCGAGGACTGAGTATGTGTATTTACATTTTGAGGAGTCGTGAATTTCTAAGGGTTCAGAGGAAACGAAATGCAGGCTATATGGACAGTGGTAAGGAGCGATAATAATGAAATATCTCTATTTTATTACATTTGATTTACTTCTAATATTGTTTACATTTCCCTTTACTCTCAGTCCCCCTGCCATCCAATACTTCTGTAGGTACTAGTAGCAGCATATCATGAAATGGTATCATGAAATCCACAAAAGCTTATACTTTGTTAACATTTAAGATTCTGTAAGATATGGAAATTGTTTTTTTTAATGTATTTAATACCTGAAAAATAAGTATTGTTCATTAGTTCGTTTTATTCCTATAAGAAAATGCCTTTATATAGAATACATTTGCTAAATTGTCCTTGTAATCAGAAATGGTAATGCTGATTGATAGGTTTAACAAAATTAAAGCGGTTAGAATGGTAATTAAATCAAGTTAGGGTCACTGAATGTTTAACCAGATTACCCGCCAGAACTCACTGTTAACATCTGAGTTCCTTCTCAGTAGAAGACTGATAGGCAATTGTAGCTAGAAAATGTAAACCAGTTAAAATAAAAGTAAGTTTTTATCCTAGAGTATCCAAATATGATGAAGATTATGGATTGTAATACTGTTAGAATTTTTTTTATCTGTTACACAAAACAGTGATGACTTCATGATTTAATTATGTAAAATCACTTGGCTAGATTTAATGCTATTAGATTTCATAAGTCAAGTTTATAAAAGAGCTGCTGGATTTAACTTTGTGTTTGGATCTAAGCAGAATTCTCTTAAATGTTACATTTTTATGACTGAAATGCCAAATCTTTTCATTTCCCACAGAACTTATAGATTTTAAAACTAGAAGAGTTGCTGCATTCCGGAAGAATCTAGTAGAACTGGCGGAATTGGAACTGAAACATGCTAAGGTTATTGTTTTCTTTTTTCTTGTAATTTAAATATTGTGTACTTTAGAAGCCAAAAGAATACACAATATGTCTTAATTAAAAAATTGAGATGGAAATTAAATATGTGTGATACATAGATTGTAGCCTTTTGTAAGACAAAGGATGAGCAATCTCAATTTGAATTAACATTTCAGGGTTACCTCTAATACAGAATATTTATTTCTGAATCAATTTTAATAATTGAAGCAGCGAGTGTCGTTGAAATTAATGGAAGCTCTGGCATCCGTTATATTTGCATCAGGGATGGGTTCTACCTACCTTTACTACCAGTTCGCAATGGGGCAATGCGCTTGCTTTGCTCACGTGCATGTGCATGTGCGCTCTTCTGCGCATGCGCAGAAGCATTCTGATGACGTCAACGTCTGTGGGTGGAGCCTCCCGCCAGTTTTACTACTGGTTCTATAGAACCGGTCTGAACCGGGGGCAACCCTCCACTGATTTGCATCCATAATAAGTTGCAAGTTTGTGTGCTTTTTCCATTTTCCAACTCATTAACTAGAAGTATCTTTTTTTTAATTTAAAAAAAAAAGGAAAGATGGGGATGTGGCTTTCATAGCAGCAGTGATGGATAGATGTTGGATAGATGTTTTAGTGAAAAGGAGTAAGAGAGAAAGTTATGTCTCTTAGATAAACTATTTTGTTTAGCAGGTTATTTTAGTTTATTATATATTTTTTTCCTTAAATCCCTTTTGTAAATAAAAAAATAAGTCCTTGCCCAGTTCCTTCTTTATCATTTTGTCACCTTTTAAATCTTTGTGTGATGTGTGTTTTCATTCTATGATATCTGTCTTATAACCTTCAATTTCTCTCCCCCCCATATTAGTTCATATTTCTCTATGAACTAATATTTGTATCTCCTCTTCATCCTGTCTATCCATATATTCTTCCATAGTTTTGTCTGCCACATATTTCTTTCTTCTTTATAATCATCTGAAAAATACATTTTCAGGTACAGCGATAATTGCTGTCAGATTGGTTATAAATTTCTTTCCCAGTTCTTAAAAATGTGTCAAATGTCATAACTTTATTTCTCATTTTGCAGATTTCACTTTTCTTTTTCTTGCCTGAAACTTTAATTCCCTCTAATGGTCCATTTTTATATTCATGAAATTTCAGGTTTCATTACTGTTTTGTTTTCAACTTTCCACCAATGATCTTTCTGGTAGAATAAACAGTATGCATTCCCATGGAAATGTTTTGTTTATTAATTTTTTCAACAGGACTTTAGCAAAAGTCCTAATATCCCAGTTTTTTTGGTCCCTTAATCCATTTAAAACTTTTCTTAAATTCTAATTCAGTCTTTTTGCCTGTTTTATATCTGTAAAGTTACTTAAGCTTAATGTTTCTTTTCTTAAAACAATCTTTGAAAACTGAGGGTCAACTTTGATTGAACTTACTAGCGTATAAGCCTAATAAGTAAAAATAACTACACTCAGACTTCCCCAGCCTGGTTATTCTTCTGCTGTGTGGGTTTTAATTATCACAATTGCTGAAAAACAATATGACAATTGCTGAGAATTCTGGGATTCTGGCAGACACTAATCAAATAATGTGTTGAAATCATTGGAGTACTCAGAAAATGACGGCAGTAAATTTGTTTTTAGTTTTGTATATCTTAATCTTTACATTTTAATTGGTAAATTGAGTTTTAAGTATTGAATTTATGTTTTATTATATATTGTCATTGCTTTCAGTACCAATTTGAGACATTAACAGAATATTTGCAATTTAAAAAATGAATATCAAATTGCTTCCACTTGCACTTTAGCTGAACATGCCAGTGTTAGCAATGTGTAACAGCTGTAAGAGCAGTTTATGAAAATACTAAATCCCAGCATGATTTGTACTGAAACTGGATTATATAAAATACTGTCTTCTCAGTTCACTTATAATGATATACATCTTTAATAATATTACTAGTTTGAGATAGGAGGAAATCACAAATTAACAGTGACCTCTGTGTTTTTTTCATTACTACAGGGCAATTTACAGCTGTTGCAGAGTTGTCTGGCAGTGCTTAATGGTGATACATAAACTAGAATCTGTCATCCTGTTAATAAGGGCTGCCTTCCACTGGAGTTTACGACTTTGAGTTAATATTTACAACTTGGTGAATTTGGTGGCAAAGGATAATGAGTTAATATTTACAGCTTGGTAAATTTGGTGGCAAAGGATACACAAACATGTTCCTTTTTTCCAAAAAAAAAACCACATAAGCGTATCAGAATAATTCCAAATTATATGAAGCAACAATATATTTGCTACATACAAATAGTCACGTTAATTTAATCACTGTACACTCTTATTGTCTAAGAAACCAAATGTTCTGAGTCTTTCTTTTGTGAGAGTAGCCAATAGAATTATGTTTTTGTTTAAAGCTAGTGTTAAATATTGCTGCCACTCTTATTTTACTACCTTTGTAATGTCTGAAGCTGATTTGAAACATATGGTTTCAAAACAATTAAATATTGCCACTAGGTGTTTGGATAATGTTACTGTAAAGCATTGTATTGGTTATTTCACATATTGTTATCAAGCATCTTAACTTTTTCAAATAACATTTCCTAGAAATTTTGGAGCAAACTTTATGTAATCTTTATAATACAACTTCAGAAAAAAAGCAAATGCATTAGTATATTTGCCTTAACTTGTAGACTAATCCCAATTACTGTAAAATAAACAGCGCAATCATTGAATTTTTCTAAAATCACAAGTCATTGTATCATTGTAATTGTTAAGCCTGGTGATCTGACAATTGTCTCCACTTTATACTTTTTAATTATGTTTGTTTTTAAATAAATACTTGATTCCATACTACTATATATACATTGAGACACATGTTTAGTGGATCATATAGAATACAGGGTTGGAAAAGGCAATTTGGGGCCTCAAGTCCAGTCTCCTGCTCAGAGGAGGAATCCAAATTAAAGTGTTCCACACAAACAGCTTTTAGTTGCCACTTGAATATACTCAACGAAACAGAGCCCATCAACTGGGCTCTAATTACTGGGTAATTAATTTCTCAGTCAATCTGTTTTGTTAGAATTTTTTCTAACGTTCAATTAGAATTTGCCTTTCTACAATCGCTTATTCTGTATTTTAGACCTTGGAATGAAAAAACACAGATCTTGATATCCTTCATTTCTTCCCTCAGTTGTTTTTAAGGTTAAATATTTCCCAGTTCTTTCACTCTCTTCGTATGGCATAATTTCTGGTCCATTGAACATGTTGTCTTCCTCAGCCTGTTTCAATTTTTAAATTTTTTTAAAGTGTAGTGTCCAGAATTGGACACTATTTAAGGTAAGATCTGATCACAATATAGAATAGTTCATTACTACTCTATGAACTACTTTGAATCATTATTTCCCAGATTTGGAAATTTCTGTTGACACATGTAAAATTGCATTGCCTTCTTTGGAATTTCATCACACTGCTGACTCATAGGAAATCCTTTATAAGAGGAATTTGCTTAGAAGTTAACTAGTAACAGAAAAGGCAGAGTTACTCAACTCCTATTTTGGTTCAATCTTCTCCAATAGCATTATTTGCCAGTAAGAAACCGAAGAGAATGATTGAGCTAAATATTAATAGAAATGTGATAAAAAAGTCTTTGGAAGCTCTAAATCAATATGAATAGGATACTGAAGGAACTAATGGTCTAGTCAAATCTTTCATGTATCTTTGAGGAATTGGAACTAGTAGGGTGACTGAAAAAGAGCTTTTCCTCCCTCTCTTCAAAAAGAAGAAAAGGAAAATCCATCAAACTTCAGAAGTACTATTTATAGGAATGACTGGAGGGGAAAAGAAGAGGACATGTGAATGAGATTAACATTTTAAACAGTATTTCTAAATCTAGACTTTGAAGTCTATTGTGCATGTATTTTAGAATTAACAGTACTCTGTGTTGCTAAACTCTTTGTAGTTGCGATACAAAATTCCCCATGCTGTATGATCTTTAAAAGTACTGAGGCTTAATAAAGCCAAGAAAAATTGCTCATTTCCCATTGTGCACCAGAGGTTATCAGTTAACTACAGGTAATGGAGGTTTGCAAGAACAAGCCTATCTTGAAAACAGGAGTTTGATTTTCTTGGCTCCTAATATCCAGCATGTAGAAAACTCTGGTGGCGCAGTGGTTTGGCTGCTGGCAGTTCTAGTCTCACTGACTCAAGATCGACTTAGTCTTCCATCCTTCTGAGGTCAGTAAAATGAAAATCCAGATTGTTTGGGGCAATATGCTGAGACTATAAACTGTTTAGAGAGGGCTGTAAAGCATTGAAGCGATATATATGTCTTTATTGCTATCCAGCACCCTGTTCTATCCAATTAAATAATCAGAAAATGATGGGAGATCTGGGAGTCCACAAAATCTCAAATACTGAACTTGAGAAACATTGTTATGGGATGATATATCAACTGCATCTTTATGTGCTGTTATATGTATTATATATGTTACAGCATTTTACTGGTAAAAGGCTAGAATATTTTGAAAGTGACATTTATTAAGGAAAACGCATACAATATAATTTAAAATTAAAATGATTGATTACTCCGTACCTAAGAGTTAGAAAAAAACCTACCAACATCCATATTCAGAATTCTAAATCTTAATAAGCAAACTCGTATCAGGCGACTAGGAAAAACTCCTCCCTGGGTTCTTATGAATCCAGAACACTTTTTCCTGAATAGAATAGAATAGAATAGAATTCTTTATTGGACACACAAGGGATTTGTCTTTGGTGCATGTGCTCTGTGTACATAAAAGAAATTCGTCAAGAATCATAAGGTACAACACTTAATGATAGTCATAGGGTACAAATAAGCAATCGAATCATTCTAGGAAACTAAATTGTAAGGATACATCAAGTTACAGGCGTAAGTGGGAGGAGGTGGGTGATAGGAATGGGAAGTTTCCCCATTCCCAGTGATCAGTCAGTCAGTCTGATCACTCCAGATTTTAATAGGGAGAGCCTTTCCCTTCTGCGAGCGTGGAGAGTTTTTTTTTTCTTTTTTGCCTTTCGAGCTAAGGCAGATTGGGCTTTTTGGAAAACTTCCGTCGCTTTAATTGGCTGCTTTTTCCTTTTCTTGGTGTTTTTCAAAGATCAAATTGTCCCAAAAGTGTTTTTTTCAAGAGGCAACTGGACTTTGTTTTTTCTTTGAAGGCGTGCAAGGAATATAAATCCTTCCATTCCCCACCATCCAGTCAGAGCTGAAGAAGCTTCCTGGATGAGAAGCGAAACGTCTTCAAAGAAAAAAAAAACCAGAAAGTCCAATTGCCTCTTGAAAAACCACCTTTGGGATAACCACGACCTGGATGACTGAGCATATAGAGGCGCAGAGATGCAGATACGGACGCATGAAGTTTGAAACCGGAACTAAATGTTTTCCGGATTTCTATACGGAATCAGAAATCGGTGGCACCAACCCCCCCCCCAGGCTTAGCGGAAACAGGAAGTGACGAAAAGGCGTTTTGTGCTAGTTGGGGGAAGGAATAGACCAGGATTGTTTACTACAAGGAAGAAGCCGGCATGAGTTCTCTGCGGGAAGAAGATGATCCTTACGTGATCGAGGAGCCCAGCGACGAGGACCCAGCGCAGAGCAGGTCTTTTGGGTGTGGGAAGGCAGACGGCAATATCTTTGCGTTTTCTTACGTCTTTGTGGGGTTGGGATGTCACGGAGAAGGAGAAACCAGGAAAGGCCTCTCTTCCCTTTTAATTAGTTACTGTCGAGAGATCGTTGGTTACTTCTCTGAGATCAGGTGAAACTGCTGTGTATTGGAACCTGCCGCTTTCTATATTTTGCAAAAACAAACAAAAAATCCTTGAGATCTTCACGTTTTTCTTCCCGCAGTTAATATCTTAAACGGTTTTGTAAATTTTGATTTTGAGAATCGCTCTTCCTTATTTTTAACTAAGAAATCAACAAGCTGTTTTGCACAGTGGTATGCTACTTTGTAGTGTATTTGAGTATTATCCCATACTAGACAATCCGTGCTCATTTGGGTCATTGTTTCAGAAATATTCCCTTACCCGAACAGAGAAACAGAATGACCAGGGCGGGCAATAAAGCAGTGGGAGCAGGAGCAACTTTGGACTTCCTGCTGCTTGGCAGGGAGCATTTGAAATCTTCCTTCTTTCAGTTCGTCCCTCCCTCCGTTCTTACCTCTTCCCAGCAGGCAGGTAAATGGCTGATGCTGGGTGGGGGGGAGAGGATGGGAGTGTCTGGAAAACTGGCATGGAACATTAAAAATGAAGATCATGTCACCAAAGGAGCATCCAGTAGCATTGAAGCAGGGATATCTTTCCCAATTTTCATAACCTCATAAATAATCAGTCTTGGATTTTGGACACATTCTGAAAGTTATCCCATTTGAGATACCTTGGTTTAAAAATTGTTGCTGTATTATACCCAGTTTTGCCCAATTAAAGTTCATGCCATTGAGAGTTTTAGTGATATATAGATTGAAATTTAATTCTGTTGTGAAAGGGCAGACATAAATTTACTTAGTTACTTTTCATAAATGTTCTTCAAATAATTGTCTCTCAACCCTAACCCTAACCCTAACCCTAACCCTTAAACTCACTTTTTTTTCTTGTTAGCTGATGTTTCTAGCCAGCTGCTAATTAAAAAAGCTACTTAGAAATACCTTCTTTAAGTAATGTTAAACAAGGACCATGTGTGTGATATTCATCTTGAAATAACGATCTCTAATCTCGTCATCTACACCACTGTGTAGTTCTGAAGATGAAGTGGATGTGCTTTTATATGGCACCCCAGACCAGAAGCGTAAACTGATACGGGAGTGTCTCACAGGAGAAAGTGAATCTTCTAGTGATGATGAATTCCAGAAGGAAATGGAAGCTGAACTTAGCAGCACCATGAAAAATATGGAAGGCCAGTGGAAGTCACAACTCCCAGGTAAACATTTTTCCAAAATTTAAAAATATGAATTGGCTTTCCAGGACTTTTCAAACCTGATTAGTTTTGGGAAATCAGCTCAGTTCAACTAATTTCACCTATTTGCTGTAACCATGAGGGGATACTCAGCTCTAATTATTGAGGAATATGAAGAGACTGGATAATGGAAATGTAATCCTGAGTCCTATTGTGCTACAAAAATAACCAAAATAAATCAAAGTGCTTGTTTTTTTAATTCTATGCAATTACAAAATGTGAACAGGGCAACAGCACTCAAGGTTATATTTTCATATCCAGTCTCTTCACATTTTCTATCAATAAATGTAGAGAATGTTAATAAAGTTGCTAATATCAATTTCTATTTTACATATATTTTTAATAATACAGCTACATTTAAAATTTTAAACAACAGAAATCCCATTCAGGCAGCTATACTTTGGAGACTGAAAGATAATTTGCTGTGTGTGATATTTTTGTGTCAAGGCACTCCAAGCATTTGAGGCAAATTCGTGCCTATTTAAGATTTTAAGTCCAGAAGATACAGGGTTTCTCATATTCACTGAGAAATCAGTTTAATTTGTGCAATCACAGAATCATTGTAATGAGACGCCAGGATATTGACATTGAATTAAATAGTTTCTCTTTTGTATAATTAACTGACAATGCAATCCTACCCTGGGATTTACTTCTGAGTGCATTTTGTATAGGATTGCATCCTAGGTAGTTTGAACAAGCATATTCTTCCAGTATAATCACTCACAGCATTGTTTTCAGGCTGGTGATATCTGGGTTTTTTT